GCATGAGCTACCAGCATCTAGCTATTACACATTATTTAAAGGTCAAGTTGCACAGAAGATTTATAATAAAACTTGTCAGTTACCTCTATACCATCTACTTTCCTGTCATCAATCACACTCTAAGCAACTGTTTCTAATTATTTTTCTAACAACTATTAAGAGGCATTGGTTGAGGACAAATTCTGAAGCTCAGTTCCTTAGATTCCTGGCTCTACCACTTACTAGCCTGTATCCTTGAATGAGTTATCCTTCTGTTTCCTCATCTATACTATACTATCTGTTATACAGCTATACTCAGGGCCTCTCCCCTATGAATCACCGGCCCTATTTTGTTATTTTTCAGATAGAGCCTTGAATTTTTGTCAGGCTCATTTCCTTCATTCTTGTTTTAAGCTCTCCTTTTGTGGGCATATGCTTTCTTGTTCTGTGTTCTCCCTGGACCTATTCCATATCTGTGTGATAGAAGAAAATGATTTGCAGCCCTTGCCTTATCACACTGTTGTGAGAACCAAGCACAGTAATGTATGCAGAACCACAAGTTTCCTTGCCAGGTACCTTTACTGTAGATTTAGAAGCAGAAAATGGGTTTAAAAAATTCAACCTCAGCCAGGTGCAGGGGGTTCTCACCTGTAATCTTAGCTACTCAGGAGACTGAGATCTGAAGATTGTGGTTCAGAGCCAACACAGATAGCAAAGACCTTAAGACTCTTTATCTCCAATAAACTACTTTAAAAAGCTGGAAGAGGAGCTGTGGTTCAAGTGGTAAAGTGCTGACCTTGAGCAAAAGCAGCTCAGGTACAGAGCTCAGAGCCTGCGTTCAAGTCCCAGAGCTAGCAAAAGAAAAAAAAATAGCAACTTCGTGGGCTATAGACCAAATTCTGGAGTTACACTGAGTTCTGTTACTGATTCCGTTGTCTCCTTTTATTCTCTGCAGATTCGTGTGTTTGAAGCCTTAAATCATCTGTGGCTGTATTTGAGATAGGCTTTTTTTGTTCATTTGTTTCCCTCTAAGTGTGTGGTTGAAATGATAGCCTGGCAAGCTCAAGCCTCTGAGTTTAAGCTACACTGTACACGTATACACACACACACGCATGCACGCACGCACACACGCACGCACATGTGCGCGCGCATACTCAGGCATACTTTAGGACTTGTCTCAAAAATCCAAAGGTTGGGATTGTAGCTTGCCTACCATAATTATGCCCTGGCTTCAATCCCCTAGCACAGTAAAAAAAAATAAAAAAGAGTAGGCCCTGGCAGTTGCCTAGATGGTGTTTTACCACATGGGCTATGCTTCTAGAATATGTTTTTGCTGGTCATTTTTGAAGATGGAGTCTCACAGACTTTTCTAACAAGGGTGGCTTTGAATTACAGTCCTCTAGATCTCAGCCTCTTAAGTAGCTGGAATTGTAGGAGTGAGATCCTGGCATCCTGTTTATATTTTTAATATTTTAGAGCAATAAAAATTTAATTTATTGTTGTTTTTCTGATGGTACTGGGCTTTGAACTCATAGCCTTGTGCTTACTAGACAAACACTCTACCACTTGGAGCCACATCTTTAGCCTTTTTTTGCTTTAGTTATTTTCCATGTCAGATCTTGTGTGCTTTTTGCTTAGGCTGGCCTTGGTCTGTAATCCTCCTACCTATACCTCTCAGGTAGCTTGGTAATTATAGGTATACTTCACCACCTCTAGCCTAGAGTGACAGATTTTTGTGTGTTCCTCAGGAGTGGTAAGGCTTGTGTGTTAAAAACACTCATCTGTGGTATAAATTCATATTGTAAATTTCCTGTGTTTTCTCCCTGTCTGAAACAAATGATTACTAATTAGTGTAGTAGTAGAGAAACTAAGGGACTTTCTGCATTCTTCATTAGTTCAAAAAAGGACAAAGCACCAACCATCTGTGCTCCTATTTGTTTCCTTCAAAAGTGTTTTCCTTTAATCCAGTTTACTCAAAAACCATAAAACAGCATTTCCCTCTATCAATATCTTTCAGATATTTCTGAGAATATCATATTTCCTATTTAGTGTTAGATTTTTATAAATCAGCTCCATATATACTCAAGTCCTAAAGTGGCAAAGCACACTATCCAGGTATGTGAGAGGTACAGAGAATTGTGAAGCTATGTCATATTGCAGCTTTCAAGACCTGAACGACTATAAGATAATGCCGAGCGCATGGACACACACATGCACACATACACACATATATCTTCAGATTTTACACAGTAGCAGAACATACATACTAATTTTTCTACTTGTATGTTTAGTGCCAGTAGTGAGGCTTGAACTCAGGGTCCTTGCTCTCTCTCTTGGCTCTTTCCACTCACAACTGGCACTTTACTACTTGAGTCACAGTTCTACTTCCAGATTTGCCTGCATTGGCTGGCTTCAAACCACAGTCCTCAGATCTCACCCTCTTTTGGGTCGCTAGGATTAATATACGTTTGTATGTGTGCATGGGAGTTGATCAGGCTTTAAAGAGTAAAGAAAACTTCCAGGACCAAAAGCCTGAAGGGAAGATTATGTAGTGAGAGTTACCTCCAGTGACTACCACTTGAGCTACGGTCTTTTTTTGCCATTAATTTTTCAGAAAGTATCTCCCTCTATTTCTTTTACTTATTTTCTGGAGGTACTGTGGTTATGAATTCATAGCCTCACATTCACTATGCTCTACTACTTGGCTACTATTCCCAGTCCCTTTCTGCAATGGTTATTTTTCAAGATAGGTTCTCATTTTATTCCTAGACTGTGGTTTTCCTGTTTGTACTTTGTCACTGGGATGTCAGGCACACACCCCTCTGCCCCAACAATTGTGTGACAGATTAACATCACCACACTCAGTCATTGGTTGAGATAGAGTCTCAAACTTTTATACCCTGGCTGGTCTTAAACTGTGATTTCCCCCAATCTCTGCCTTGAGAGGCAGGATTATTAGCTTCAGCCCTGAACCTGGCTTTAGCTTGTTTTTGATATAATGTCACACTATTTTTTTTTTTGCCTTGAAACACATTCTTCTTACCTTTCCCTTCTTCATGGCTGAGATGACAGGTGTACTCCACCAAGCCCTTTTTTTTTTTTTTTTTTTGGTAGTGGAGCCCGAACTCTGGGCTTGGGCACTGTCCCTCAGCTCAATGCTAGTGCCCTACTACGTGAGCCATAGTGCCACTTCCGACTTTTTCTGCTTATGTGGTGCTGAGAAATCGAACCCAGGGCCTCATGCGTGCAAGGCAAGCACTTTACCACTGAGCCACCTTCCCAGCCCCAGCCAAGCCCTTCTTGTTACACTTAATATTTTCTCCTTGTTTGGCTTCAAACTGCAATCTTCCTATCAAGACTATAGGCATGAGCCACTATGGCTGGCTGAAAAAAAATTTTTTTAAATCAGGAGGCTATATGATTTGAAAGGTTAATTATAATATGCCTTGAATGTGAAACCAATAACTTCATATGGGGTGTGTGTGGGTGTCTTGCTATGTTGTCAGGCTAGTGTGCTAATCAAGTATAGCTGAATATGTGTTTTGTTTTTGTTTTGTTTTGGTCATCAGTGGAAAGTCATTAGAACTTTTTACGCAGGCAGATGTCAAGTTTAGTACCCATGTGTAGGGTGAAGTGAAAACTAAACCTAAAGCCCAATGTGCTTTTGCTTTAGCGGAGGAGTATGAGTTGTGTTTAAAATTAAGATTACTTTAAAGCCTCCAATTTATAATTCAGCACAAGTGTGTCTATAAAAACAAGAGTAATTGCTGGGCACTGGTGGCTCAAGCCAGCTCAGCAGGAAAGTCCATGAGTGAGACACTTATCTCCAATAAACTACTCAGAAAAAGCTGGAAATGGCATTGTGGCTCAAGTGGTAAAGCACTAGCCTTGAGCACAGAGAGGCTCAGGACAGAGCCCAGGCCCTGAGTTTAAGCCCCAGGACCCACAAAAAACACAAAACGAAAAAATCAAGAGTAATAATAATGAACACATAACTGACTCAAGTATTTCATAGACAGAAGATGTTTTATAACTTGGGCCTTGATGGAGTTAGACTAGCTTGAATTCTGGTTTGGCCACTTTTCAAAGATGAGTAGCGTCTTAACCTTTCTAAGGTTGATATGGAGACAGGTACTAGCAATATCACCTGCTCTGCAGTGTGAACATTAAGATAAAGTATGTGTCTTTGTTGCTGCTGTTTTTAATGTACTAAGTGATTTGTTTCTTTTGTATGTTCTTCCCCCATGATATAACCTGTTTTTACTGTATTTGATTCTGGTGCCCTGCATCTTGTATATACATTTTTCTAATTTGCGGAGGGAAAGGGAAATAACCAAATGTTGAAAGAAGGACACAGGTTGACCCACTGTAACGATGAGATGTACAAAACACTATATTGAAAATGAACTTTACAACTTGAGGGAGGGAGGAGTTGGGGAGGTGGGGAAGGAAGGGATGGTAGGGGAAAAACAAAAGTGGGGGTAACAATGCTCGATAGGTAATGTACTCATTACCTTACTCATGTGTCTGTATAGTATCTTTACAATAAAAAATATATTTTAAAAAAAGATAAAGCACATGAAGCCATTAACCACTGCATGGCAAATAAATGTCCCCTGAATACTTTTGTTGTTCTTGACCACTACTGCTATTATTATTATCATTATGTAGTAATCATTATTATTTTGTTTCTGTGGAACAATACGGCTGAATTTTTATCTTAAACTATAGAAACATTCTTCCCTTTTGGCATCCAAACCTCAGGGCCTACTGGCTGCCTTTAGATTATCCACTTCTTGTTTTGAATGGCCTGCCTTGTCAGTTAGGATATGCAATAAAACCCAGATTCCTGGGTGCTTCAGAGAGGTGCTATTTGCCGCCAGTTATAAGAAAGAGTGGTAGGCTTTGCTTTTGTAGATGCTTTGATTTTTTTTTAAAATACAAATATATGTCATTACTATACTTTCATTTATGGTGTTTTGTTATTCAGATATTTAGACTTCCTTTTGCTTTTTTATTAGGTTTAAGCCGTTTTTTCCATACCAAACCTTGCAAGGATTTGAAGAAGATGAAGAGCATATCCATATACAACAATGGGCACTTACAGAAGGCCGTCTTAAAGTTACATTGTTAGAATGTAGCAGGTATGTTCTTTCTTTTGTTATTACACCAAGGGAAAAAAAGCACAATAGAAATACATTCAAAGAATACTTGTGTTTATACTCCTTACTGTTTATTTGTGATATATTCTTAAGATGTAAATGTCATAAAAGTCCTTTCCAGCTTACAAAAATATAAACCATATTTTATAAAGTACTTTACTGAGGGGCATTATGCAATCACTTTTGATTGCTTTCGATGCATAATTACTCTGTTGGCATATTTTAACTTATTTTGCCAATTGGAGATCTGTTCATAGTATGATAATTTTGAGAATTATGATAATTAGTAATGCCCACGAAAGTGGCAAAAACCAGACTTTCAACCCTGTACGTTGGAAATCATCTTGCCTAACCTCATTATTTTACCTCCACAGTCCAAGGTATGTTCATTTCTTTCCTGAATTACTTACTACATTCTCTTTCTCACTTTTTTCTCTTAACATGTAGATATAACAGCCAGAATGACCTTTAAAATGCAAATCTAATTGCCATTCTCCTACTTAAAATTCTTAATAGTTTCCTCATCCCTCCCCCATTTCCTCTCACATCTGAGAAATTTATTGTATACAGCTCTCTTCCAGGGCCTGGCAGCTCACCTTCAGAGGGGGAGAGGGGCTCCATATAAGTAATCTCAGCAACAAGAGCTCACAAAGCAGCACTCTACTAAAAGTTACTATATAGTTTGGAGATAGGGCTACTCCACAAATGTATGAACAGGTGAAATCCTTTTATGAACAAACATCCATTGAAGAGAAAGATGACAACTCTTAATTCAGTCTTATACACAGCACTACGGTGATTGGCAGAGTGGGCAGAGGTCAACATCCTTACTTGTCAGAGATCTGGATGGATGATGAGTGGGCCCATATTTTGTCCACAAATAATGGGTACTCGGACACTGCCTATTTACAAGACCAACTACAAAGTGGGCAGTGTGTGTGTGTTTGTGTGTTCTGGAATGAGGAGGGGTGGTCTTTACATCATATTCTATGGTTGGTGGGCTCAGAGAGGGGTTATTTTGTGGAGATGATGACAGCCATCAAAAGGCTATAGAGATGGAGCACCTGGGCAAAGATGAGGATCAGGATCATGCTCACAAACAGAAGGCTGCTGGGCAATGCCTCACACTAGCCCCCCCTTCATGATCAGCTCTAGCTCATAACGGACATGGTAGGGTACCATTGCCATTCTTGACTTTGCCATAGAGACTAGCCAAGGTACTGAAGATCGTGGTGCACAAGGTACTCATGATGTTGAAAAATGAATGAAGCATACTATTCTTACCTCAGACATGTCTGCAAGAACGTTGGGACAGAGACGGCAGACAGATGGGCACAGAAATGGGTGGCAGTCAAGGTCAAAGCACCTCCCCATTACTCTAAAGATGGGATCTAAATTCTCCTCTCCACCTACAAATGTCTGCTCCAACTTTTTTTTCTCACTACCGTTTGCCTATCCCCTTCATATGTAAGAAGGCTATCTAGGCTTTCTTTTTTTTTTTTGTCGGTCATGGGGCTTGAACTCTGGGCCTGGGCGCTGTCCCTCAGCTCTTCAGCTCAAGGCGAGCGCTCTACCACTTGAGCTACAGCGCCACTTCCAGTTTTCTGGTGGTTTATTGGAGATAGGAGTCTCACGGTCTCTCCTGCCCGGGCTGGCTTTGAACGGCGATCCTCAGATCTCAGCCTCCTGAGTAGCTAGTATTACAGGCATGAGCCACCAGCGCCCAGCTTATGTAGGCTTTCTTAAGGGAAGGAAATGACAAAACTTCCTCTAAAATGGCCAGGTAGTAAAGATTTTGGGCTTTGTAATGCACATGGTGTCTGCTGTACACCCCATCTCTGCTGTGTAGTGTAAAAGCAGTCTTAGACAACATGTAAATGAGTGGGCACTGCTGAGTGTTAGTAGAGCTTTCAGGGAGCTTCACTGTGTTATGAAATGATCATTTGATTATCTTTCAACTATATAGAAATGTAAAAAACACTGGTAGTTGGCAAGGTGTACAAAGCAGGTGTGGACTGGATTTGGACCACAGGTTGTAGTTCCTGGTTCCCTGCTTTGATATTTTGAAAATACCAAGCTCCTTATGTTGACTGCTATTTTCCTGATATATTCTCTGTTCCTTGAAACCAACCTTCCGTGGTAGAGCTCAAAAGCTATCTCCTTAATGTCTATGGATCACTCAAGTAAAAGTATGTTGTCTTTTGGCCACATTTGAGTACCTTTTTAAATCCTGAAGTGACTCAGATTATGCACCATCATGTTATAAAGTCTTATTGACAAGAAATTCTTTTATTGAAACAAAGATGAAATTGACATAGGCAAGGCTCAATGAAAGCACCTGGCCTGGCTCTTGGGTCAAACCCCACCCAGTACTGCTTCCCTACAAAAAAAAAAAAAAAAGTCTAAAATGTGCTATATATCTTATAAAATAAACCAAAGTGTATTATAAAAATTTATCTTATAGTATATTATAAAATTGGTATAACAGTACTATTTCACATATTCAGAGAAAAGATAACTTCTTTTGCCTCAATGTTGCTGGTGGAGTTAATAGTTGTTACTTTTATAGCCATTAAATCACTAACTGCTGTTGCCTTGGAGAAACTGAAGTCAGACATTATTTATGTCGTGTTTAATTGAGATCAGCGATATAAAGAAAAACATTAGGAATTATAATGTAACCTGCTTTATTTTAATAAGGAACATGGTATACGTAATCTTGAAAATATGTTAGAGCAGGGCGCTGGTGGCTCACACCTGTAATCCTAGCTAGTCAGGAGGCTGAGATCTGAGGATCGTGGTTCAAAGCCAGCCCAGGCAGCAAAGTCTGTGAGACTTTTATTTCTAATAAACTACGCAAAAAACTGGAAGTGGCACTGTAGCTCAAGTGGTAGAGCTAGCCTTAAGCTGAAGAGCTGAGGGACAGCGCCCAAGCCCCACAACTGACAAAAAAAAAAAGAAAAGAAAATGATATATTAGAAACTGGTAAAAAAATCTTCTGAGTTTATTTGGACAGGGGTCAAAGTAACAGCCAGATTTTTTTTTTTTTTTTTTTTGTCGGTCATGGCCTGAACTCTGGGCCTGGGTGCTGTCCCTTGGCTCTTCAGCTCAATGCTAGTACTCTACCACTTTTGAGCCACAACACCACTTCTGTTTTTTTCTGCTTATGTGGTGCTGAGGAATCAAACCCAGGGCCTCATGCATGCGAGGCAAGCACTCTACCACTGAGCCACCTTCTCAGCCCAAACAGCCAGATTTTTACTGCAAATATTTTTACATTGTTTTGATTTTTATGACAATGTCACCTGGTCAAAAAACAAGTACAAGTAATTTTAGAAAGAACATACTGGAGTTGAAGGGGACAGCACAGAAAATAGTCTCTTTCATTCAGTCTTCTTCTTATATTCGTTCTGTAAGCTTGGAATAGATAACTTATACTTTTTATACTTTTTATCTAGGTCGAGGCTTAATCTAGGGAACAAGTATGCTATCTGAAGAACTTTTTAGATACTATCTTTATAAATCCCAATGTATATAATTCTGTGTTGTGCAGTGTTACTGTTTACATTCTTTAAAGATTATTTAAAAAGTGTTACTGAAGAGAATTAAGTTGCTATTCTCAACTCTCCTAGCTTTTTAAAATGTTGCTATTGAAGCCTGAACCTTGTTTTTAATATTCTTATTAGACCTCTGGGCCTGGGTGCTGTCCCTTGACTCTTCAGCTCAAGGCAAGTGCTCTACCACTTGAGCCACAGCACCACTTCTGGTTTTCTGGTGGTTTATTGTAGATAAGAGTCTCATGGACTTTTCTGCCCAGGCTGGCTTTGAACCTTGATCCTCAAATCTCAGCCTCCTGAGTAGCTAGGATTACAGGCATGAGCCACCGGCACCTGGCCTTAAAAATTTATTTTCCTTAGTATAAAAAATAAGAGCTGGCTCTTTAGGTAGATTCTAAATTTGGAAGACTCAAACTAAAGAGGAGATTCTACGAAGCATTCAGTTATTGTTTCAAATATAACTTCATCTTTTTTTGTGAAAATACCATACAGAGGGGTTACAATTACATGAGCAAGGTAATGAGTACATTTCTTATCAAGCATTGTTCTTTTATGGCTTATTGTCAATTCTGATGCAGTTAGTGACCCTAGGGAAGAGGGAAGAACAAATAGTAGGGTCTTTCTTTTTAGAGAAAGACAAAAAATTGCTTACAAGTTCAAAATTTGGACATAAAAGTCTTAATATCTCTTGAAACTTTTTCTTGAAATAACTACTTAGCAATATGAAAAACCTGGACAAATAGAATGGCCAAAAACATTAAAACAATATAAGCTAATAAAAATTTAATGTTTCTAAATGCTGTGATAAGTTGAAGTTGTCTGGGTTTGTGCAATAAATGCTTATTAACATTTGCTTGAACAAAATTTACTTAAATATCTTCACCTTGTTAAATATCACGTGGATCAGTTACTGTTGCAGTTTTAGTTTACTGTGTTTAAAATGCTTATTTCTTAAGCTTTTGAGAACTTGAATCAAATAAAGAACATAACTAGTATTTTTTCCCTCCAAAGGCAAGAAGTAAAATATCATAAGTATTATTCATAGTCAACTATAGTTCTGTGTGAGGACTGTTTTTTAATTATTAAGCCATTCATTTTGAAATAATGAAATGTTTCTTTGTGAGAATCTTTTAAATGCTTTTAAGCTGCTTTCAGTCATAAATAAAAAGTGTGTGTGAAGATTTTTATTGAACTTACCTGTTATAAAATTCTGAGAGTCAATTTTACCAATGAGGAAATAAATTAGGAACCATGATAAAGTGCATTTTGAAATTATTAGAATAGACAACTAAAAAGTTTGTGTTTTAGAAGGCAGCATAAGGTGGGAATAATACAGGCATAGAAAGCATGGTGTTTACACCCTATCCTTGTGCCCATACTGTTGTGGCACAAGGCAAGTTCTACATAGCTGTATCATGGTCAGGG